ATTCTTCATTTTCACAAGTAAACTACTAAGGTATTGATAAGATAGTTTCAGCGAGCATAGTTTTGAAGGAAGCTGTAAGAAAGGGGGTTAGTCGCTATGTAGATCACAAACGTACTCACGGCGGACATTTCGGAAGTAGGAGCACCGCGCTAGGTCCGCGTAGGCGCGGCAGGCTGACAGGATGGCGTCAACGAGTTAGGTCATCGATGGTGTGAGGGCCGGTTTCAATATGCTTCGACAGTAGTTACGATACCCGAACCTGGATCCGCCATAGATCGAAGTGGTTGCCGAAGCAGACGGCAGGGGGCGGTTAGGAAGGGGGCCAGGCTGGGCGGAAGGGAGAGGACTATCGTGCTGCGGTATCGGTCGCCTTGGTTATTTAGGAAACCATATCAAAGTTTGAGTTGGCTGGTTGCCGGCAGTGCGCAACCCTCCTATCGTGGCCTCCGCTTCTGGACAATGAGATCTCTTCCGGTCTCGTCGAGGTCGCCCTTGACGTTCGTTACCGGACCGAATAACGGCACCTTGAGCCATGAAAATGGTGGCGCATTGAATCCTTGAAGAGGACCGGGCTGAGAAAAGACGTCGTCCATGATAGATCAGACGGCCATTATAACGGCTGAGACGACTGCCCGTTAACTTTTCATATCCGTGATTGTCATTTTGATATCCTTACAGACACTTATCGATTCAGATGATCGAGTGAAGAAACTGGGATCGTAAGAATTTTTGTTGTGGAAGCTTTGGTTCAGTAATCATATGTCTTTAGGCTGAATGGATATCTACGACTACCATTGATAAGCGTATGCGATTAACAAACTGCAGTTTTTATTCATTAACAGATAAAGCAAGTGTTTTAACGAATTGATAGATATATGTCTTCGCATAATTGCTGGAAACAACAATATTTCATTGTAGTATTATCTAACTTATTAATCAACCATTCTATCAATAGTTAGAACCTATTCATTGTATATAAAATATTAAACGATACAAAAAAGTATTATCTCAGGCTACAGAACTATCGCTAACCACGCATCAACGTAGCCGTTTCACGCCATTAATATCGGATCTACCGAGGAAAACTTGGTCCTCGCTTTCCCTGAACTTCCACGCACGCCGCGGAAGACATTTGCTCGACAAGTTGACGGTACTTCATCGTTCCTGTAAACAGTCTCGGCAATTAGCGGGAAAAATCCCGTAAGCCTGACGCGTTACGACAAGCGTGCCGAGCAAGAAACGACAAGGGAGAGACGGGCAGCAGCTCTACTTCTAGTGCTCCGCTAGTGCCGCGAGTTCTTCGGGAAGGGTCGAGAGATTTAATTAAGGCAGAGCGACGACGGACAGAAAGACGAGTCGCTGCGTCGTGTAAACTCGAGCTCGCTCGTCGCTCCGGTCTCCCTTGTCATAGCCCCGGGGACGGGACAAGCGCCGGTTCCTTCCTTCTTACCATTCTAGAAGATCTCTCGAAAACTCGTGAGAACGCTGCACACGTCCCCGA